CTGTGTGTATGAACACGTGCGATAGCCGAAGAATGTAGGCCTGAAGATTTTCTTTTATTTTTTTTTCTCTCTTTCTTTTTTTTTTTAAATAAATTTTTCTAGCGATATTTACGCATGAGCAAAAGCTAGATCCACCAACGTATCCCCCCGCCTTTTAAAATCCTCAATCCACTTCAGACTCGGCAGAAAGAAGTGCTACAGGTCAAACTGGGCGGCGTTGAGAGCAACAACTTGTACACCTGTCTAGAATCGCATTGACGCACTGGAAATTGCTTTTCGTTATCTCCGTGAGCGGAAAGCTGATCTTCTTTTTAAGGATAATGTTAAAAAGAAATTATCGTTATAACTACACACGCTTCATATGAATTCACCTTAGGTAAGGAAATGGAGACATTGGTTCAGATCGCAGCCCAGGAAAAAAGATGCTGCCGTAAAAAAAAAAAAAAAAAAAAAAAAAAAAAATTACAGATTCAAATTTGAGAATGAAACGTGCGTCATTATATCGATAATCAAGCTACGCCCCGACCAGGAAATGCACACCATATGCCCCTCATTGAAAAATCAGAATACCCGGAAATTGTTATAAAAATGAAAAACTGTGTGTTCAGGGAAAGAGCGGGGGAGGGGGGGGAGGGGGGGGGGGAGGTTCCCTTCGGCTCGTTTTTACTTCTGCGTCCCCATCTTTTCTCTCCCAGGCAACAAAACCCTGCGAATGTTTGTGTAAATTATTTCCGCCATTTTCTCAGGCTAGTGTCAGTGTGTGTTTCAACACGCAGTCAACGAGTTGATTGCATTTCGTTGTGTAGAGACTTCATTTTCAGTTAGACATACTTGTAAGAGTTATTTTATTCCGCTAAAAGCCCAAGCGAGTCAGAATCTTTTTAATAAGCCGGAGAAAAATCTGCACGTTATCTGTAAAGTGAGAAAGTGCATGCATGATTCAGATTTGACACCTCGGAACTGACGAACACAAGTGCGTCAATAATTACGCATTTGCTTGCTCTTCGTGTTATTAAAAAGAAAAAGGTACAGATATGCAATTTTTAATTTGCATTTGGTCCGCTTATATTACGTCAAAATGTAAAGACTCAATACAAAGTATGCCCCCAGGATCTTCAACGTCGGCTTCTGATTATCATGAAATAAAATATAAAATTCATACGTGTGCTTCAAGAACGCACACGGATGTTTAAGTTAATAAAAGGATCGCGCGCATTTCTCGCAAAAGTTAACTTTTTTTTTAACAGCAATAACGCTAAATGACGTAGTTTTATATTAAAAGAGACGAAGAAAAAAATTATGAATTAAGAAGTATATAGATAAATCATACTCATTAATCATATAGACAAGTAGATGATTTTATATTTTGACACAAAGTTTAAGAGAGGCCAGACGCATATATTTATCTTTCCCTGTCATCGCATTTTATGATCTTAAAAATTCAATCTCGAAATGACATCAATGTTAGCACTAATAAGTCACTTACTGATACATTGAAAGAAAACAGAAAGTAAAAAACCGTATCAAAATTTCTGAAAAACATTAGCGTCTGCAATCTTTGAGCAGAGCAGTGTTTGGCAGTTCTCCGTTTATCAAAATGCAAACAGATAAAAGCGTACTTGAAGCGCGTCTCAAGTGGAGTTGAAGATGGCGCATATGCCGAGGTTTATCCTGTTTCGGAGACAATAAAGCAGTCGTGTAGACCAAAGATGAAAACATAAGAAGCACTTGGATGTATTTTTCTCAGCCTGTGTTTTTACCGAGAAAAAGAAACAGATCACGCTTTAAGGAAATGTAGCACTGCTTCTTCGTTTCCACAGAAAAAATAGATTAAGAAAAGTTTCAAATTGTCAAGTGGCACCGAGGATGACACTTTCGACGAAATTCACTTTATTGGAAACACCAAATATAGATTTTATGTAGAATTTTGGAATAAGTTGAATACATTTTCTCCTTATACTATATGCAAACGGACTTCAGCGGTATTTTAAGAGAAAGAGAAATTTCTACACACACATAGATATTCGTATTCCACGTCCGCTTGGAATATTCTTCGTGTGAAAATTAAAATGTTTCCATAAATGTGGTCACAAGCATTCAGCGCTTTTTTTTAAAAAAAAAGGACATTACCGTTCGAAAAAGCAATAATTCACCATGCATCCTCTGTTTTTTGAAAATCTTAATAAGCCGACCATATTTGTTTTAATTTGTTAGTCGACCTTCAAATGATAAGACGATTATACACATTAAATAAAAAGACAGACGCTATATGATTGGATATATTATTATTATTTAAAACAATACTCGGGGATGCCTAGTGACAAAAATATTCATATATATATATTTAATAGTCATACAGGGTAAAAAACAAAATATGTAAATATCTTGAAATTATGTCTCTTTATATTTTGACATTTTAACATAGGGACCGTGTTTGTTTACGCTCGAATTGTTCATAACGCCATTAACTTTAATTAAATGCTCGCTGTTATGTTGACCCTAATTAAATGTTCATGATAATGTTAACCTTAATTAAATATCTGTTACAATGTTATACTAAATTAGATGTTCATTACAATATGTTAAACTAAACTTTTATTCTTTACATGTGGTAATGATATGCAATACACGTAATTTTAAAATATTTTCAGCAAAAGAAAAAAAGGTAATTTTAACCCAATAATAAGTATTAAGCTGAAATAAAAATATGACCACTTGAATAAAAATATATCTATATTTAAATACTGAAGTAAATCAAACAAATAAAACAAAATTATAGGGAATGAGAAATAAAAGACTGAAAGCAAGTCTTCAAAATCGTGTATACATAGGACTTAAATATCTCTAAAAAAATATCCAATACCAACATATTTGCAAAACATACCGTAGGTCTACTTACGATCCGAGACCGTGTTGAAGTTCTCGGTTGAGAAGAAAGTAATAAAAATAATACAAAATAAGAATTCGTGAGATAAATACAGAGTAGATATAAAGAGGAATGTGGTTCTTTGGTACTTCCTGGACAGAACACATCACAAAAATTCACCAAAAAAAAAAAAACTATAACTATTATTTTATTTTTGGTAATAAACTAATGACTAACTGTTCTTACTACCATGCAGTGTACAACAAAAGTAAAATAATAGTTATAGTTTATTACCNNAAAAAAAAAAAAAAAAAAAAAAAAAGAAAAAAAAAAAAAAAAAAAAAAAAAAAAAAAAGAGAGGAGGGGGGGGGGGGGGGGGGGGGGGGGGGGGGGGGGGGGGGGAGGCACCGGGCACTACATCAGATCATACCGTGTGTATCACATTGCTTTATATAAATTACTTTTGACATGATAATGTTTGTGCAAGAATTTATATGTGTTAGTTACATAAACTATGCACACAATAACCTGACCTGGACCGCTATAACACGATCTACTTTTTCTCCAGACCCCCACCAACGATTTCCTCAGCTTTTTACATTACAAAATGATAAGGAGACAAAAATCGTCTATATAATTCATATATATATATATATATATATATACGCAATGCTTTGGGTTTACTTTCAGCTAATTTTGAAAATGACCTTTTCAGCATTAATGGGGATAAGAAGGAATATAAAATGTCTTAATATATAAAAGGAAGACCAGAACGTTGAATGCTGGTCTGCGTGCACTGGCTTAACAAAGGCATAAAAAGGTGCATGTCTGACCATATTCATTGTGAGAATTCTGAGTTAATGTGATAAATTTTATTTTTTTCAAAACCTTCTTCAAATTTTTTAATTGCACCTTCAACATCTAAGAGACAAGCAAGCACACTATATTTTTATTGGAAATAGAACCTTATTTTTTTCAAAACCTTATTCAAAATTTTAATTTGCACCTTAAACATCTTAGAGACAAGCAAGCACACTGTATTTTTATTGTAAATAGAACCTTATTTTTTTCAAAACCTTATTCAAATTTTTAATTTGCACCTTAAACATCTTCACAAGGACTTCAATTATTCTATTCAGGCTCGTTGCCGGGGAGGGGGGTGGGGGGGGGGGTTCAAACGCACATCCCATTTAGGTGGGAAAGATCAGTTCTAGGTAAAATTTGATATAGGGACATGAGGGATTGATGGTGAAAAGTCCATTTTTTCTAGAAAAAGACCCCCTTGAAATTGCTGGCTACGGGCTTGCTATTTCCATTAGAAAGAAGAACCTTGTNGGGGGGGGGGTGGGGGGGTGGGGGGGTGGGGGGGCTGTGCATGGCTGTGCGTTTGAACCCCCCATTTAGGTGGGAAAGATCAGTTCTAGGTAAGATTTGATATAGGGACATGAGGGATTGATGGTGAAAAATCCATTTTTTCTAGAAAAAGACCCCCTTGAAATTGCTGGCTACGGGCCTGCTATTTCCATTAGAAAGAAGAACCTTGTGATTCTGTTCCAACTCTGCTCCATTAAAATCAAGGTGGTACATATATAACAGTAATACACACTTATATTAACAAATAAACATATACAAACATAACAAGAACAATCACAGTAACAGTAAATGGAAACCAGTTCTGAATCAGATCACATTAAGAATTTTGACATAATTATAAAAGCACTTATTCTACAATTAAAAAAATTTGACCAATGATCAAAAACAATGAGAACACTGCTCAGCAATGGAGCATGAATACCAAATCCTACTTTGATCTTTGACACAAAACCATGGAAAAAAATAAATAATTGATTCCTAGCCAGCAATGAAAGATAAAAATTCAAGTCACATAGACCCCATTTCCATAGATTTTAGATCGATCTATCCCTGTGGGGAGTCTCACTAGATTACTGTCAGCTTAGCCGGCTTAAGCGTCTGTCCCGCCTACTAAAAGCTGTAAGGGGGTAATTAACTATGGTGCGCTCGGCTGACTGCAATTTAGCGTGAACCCCCAGGGAGTTAAGTCGATCTAAATCTCTGGGAATACACCCATAGATCTCACAGATATATTATAGATAAGAACCTATGATTAACAGATCCAGCACAGTGGGTGGGTGGGTGGGGAAGAGATAAGAGGCATCCTTTTATCCACCTCTTTCTTTTTTTTTTTTTCAGGGGGAGGGGGGGGGCTAGATAGAATGCCTCTGACTCCAGGAGAACTTCAATTTATTAAAAAAAAAAAAAAAAACATGCACACACTTCTTAAGTTACTTACATGACCCTGAAAAACAGTTACCAGGACAGTAACAGAGCAAAACAAACAGATCTAACCAACCCAAACTATCAAACAACTTCAATTTACAATACTTTTGTCTACCTATCCTTTATCATTACACTGTAGCTGCTCCAATCCCTCCATTACTTTAAGAATGTCCAGTAAACTGAGGTTCAGTTCCTCTTTCAGCATCTTGTAGAAAAACCCTGGTGCCGTGAACGACATCTTGACCAGTTGCCCCAGTAACTTTCCATTAAAGCCAGAAAACCTGAAAGCGATGCAATAATTAACATGTTACATGGATCATTAAAATGATAATCACAAATTATTATATCCAAAAACTTGACCGATACAGGTAGCATACAATGCCATCACCACAACTGTTGAGCTTTCACAGATGTATGATTTATCCTATTTAATACAAGTTCAAGTGTACATGGATGTACAGATGAAAATATTAGTAAAAGGACTGAGGGACAGTCAAAGAAACAGGCAGACAAAAGAAAAAAAGGGCAAATCTACAAATTGACAAACAAATGTGCTGGACAGGCAGCCAGACAGAAAGCCATAGAGAATAAAACTGAGCAAATTACTTGGTAAGTCATAAACAATTTATAAATCAACTGTTCAGTTTTAAGATTCATATTAAGCGAGTAATCAATGTAGGCCCATAGCCGGCAATTTCAGAAGGGGGGGTCTTTTTCTGAATAAGTGGACCCTTATCTATGAAACCTTTGTGCACCGAGATCAAATGTTACCCAGAATGGACCCTTTCCTGACAAAAAGGGTGGTTCTTTCAAACCCCCCAACCCCCCCTGAATACAGGCCTGCGTTGTCTCAAAACCTGACTAGATGCAACCAAAAAGTATAACTTGGAGGAAAAAAACGTTTTGTTACATTGTTTCCTAAAAAAAACCTTTCTGAGCTTTAAGGACTGAAAGAAAAAGTAGTTGCTTTTTATATTCTTTAAAGAGTGTATTTAAGTAGTACTTCCTACATGCTGCAAAACATTCATATATTTACATATATTTCCTTACCTCTGTGCAATATGTGCCAGATCATTATCCTCTAGCCATTTCTTTATATCTTCCTCAGTCCAATCCCTGTGTTGCCATAGTATCGGGCCAGCGATTTGAGGCTCTGACAACACCATTTTGGGTGGTGCATTCTGGGGCTTTGATTCAGGAAACATAGAATGAGGCGAAGACACTGGTTTCTTGACACTGCTGCTTGGGGCTGGCACTGGTGCTGGCTTAGGTGCTGCTTCAACAACTACTGGTAGTAAAAAATTGAAATGCTTTTTTACAGTTGTCCTGCTATTAATCATTAACTGAATTTTTTTAACTTCAATTTTTTATTGCCAATTGCAAAAACAAATAAAACTGATATGAAGAAAAATGAATCCAAAATATATGTTAATCTTTTTATAATCTCTGTAGAATATGGGAGCATGAACCTTTGTAAAGTATTGGTACTAATACTAGTAACACTCTCTTTTTTTTTTTATAAAAGAAAGTACTTTCAATTTAATATCTTTTTTGAAAATCTTTCTTTTTAAATAATTTACCTTCTTGTGTACTGAGGCTAATAGGTCTCTCTGGGGATCCTGAAATTCCCCCGTTGACCGTTCCATTGACCCGACCTCTTGGTCCTATCTCTTTGGCCACTCGTGGAAGGTTCTCGTTGACAAATTCTTCAGTACTTATGTCAAACCAGAGCTTTGTTCCAAGCATTATACCTAGGATAAATATAGTCTGAACTACATGTAGTTTCCATTAAAAAAAGTTAATTAGGAACTTTTTGACTGTGCTAAAAGACTTATTTTCACACTGTCCACCAGGTGGCATTGGGAAACTAGACAAGATATTAGAAGTACACAGTCCCAAATCCTATTCCCATATATGTAGACACTTTCTTTCAAAAATTGTCAACTACACAGTACATGTTAGTTCGTTACTTCATTGTTTGTCCGCTGCATAGCAGGTGTGAAAAAATGTCTCATTTTTGGATTTTGTTGTGTTGCCTCATAACAGAATACAATGTGAAACAGCCAAAACAGTGGGATTCACTCAAACACTGTTACCATGTAGTTGGAGTTGACCCCAGAAAAATCAGTTGTATGGCTAAATAGGCTTTTTACTGCCTCCCATAATGGTGATAAAAATAAATTAGTTTCTAAATCTATACTCAATAAATATAAGAGAATTGTTTCTCACAGCTAAAAACACATCAAGTTAATGTTGCCGCTTTCTACTCACCCAGCCACCCATCTGGTAAATACTGTTGCTGTAATCTCAGAGGGACAACATCTTTTCTAAGACGATATGCATACTCAGCCTCTGGAATGTGAATAGATATGCAAATTTAAAAGAAAAAAGTCTGAAATGTATGCAGGAAAAAAGGATTGCTGATAATTTATTCACTCCAAAAAAGCTTCCAAAATATATCACAAAAAAGTAGTGTAATTAATCAAAATAAGAATAATAAATAAATAAACAAAATAAAATATTTCAAATAATCTTGTTATAGTCTGCCCAACTGTAGTTCATTTGTATTGTTTGTGTTCACTGAAAGTAATCATGTAGCCCATGCAAGATTATGATCCCCTATCTCAGAGCTTTGTTTCATTTCAACTTTTATGCTGTAATTGTTAAGATTAATTTATAATTCTTATAATTCCAGTTGAGGAATGTGGCACAAATTTTACTCTAACGGTTGTGAAAGGGGGGGGGGGGGGGGGGGGGGGGGGCC